GTAGTCCAGTGTCAGAGCCCCATGGCTGGGGTAGTCCAGTGTCAGAGCCCATGCCTGGGGTAATCCAGTGTCAGCCCTAAGAGCCCTTGTTGAGCATGCAGGGAGGCTCTGGGTTCATCTCAGCATTGCACAGCAAAGGCAGAGAAGACCCAACCTGGGGGACGGAGATGCAGTTCATTTGGTAGAGGACTTTCCTAATGTGCTTGAAGCCCTTCTTGGATCCCTGGCACTGAGTAAAGCCAGGCAAGCTGGCACATGCCTTTAGTTCTGGCTCTTGGGAGATGGAGGCAGGAGGATCAGGACTTCAAGGTTATCTTCAACTACATAGTGACTTTGATGCCAACATGGGCTAGAGATCCTGTCTCAAAAATCCAAACCAAACGAAATAGACAACAAACAAACAGAAAGCCAAGGTGACCTTGGAGGGAAAAGTTGTTTCCCAGTGTTTTGTTATTCTCTGTTGACATTTGTCCAGTGCCCACTGAGGTCATCGTTTTAGGATGGGAGCATCTATTGTCCTCTAGCTCAGTTTGCGGAACTGTTGGTGCAGACCAATTAAAGTGGAAGCGATCCTTTCACAGTTCAGCTCTGGGGGAAGTGTCGGTTCTCCACATCAAAGAATAGATTTCTGAAGTGTTTGACTGGCATGCGGGCGGCCCTGGGCTCCATCCCCAGAGCTGCAGAAGCCAGGCCTGGGGGCTCATGCTGGGACTCCAGGACTTGCAGGGAGGCAGTGGGATTAGAGGTTCAGAGTCATCCTTGGCTACCCGGCGAGTTCCAGGTCACCCTGGTAAGACGGCTTCGTGAACCAGCGCCCACCAGTTGTCCTCTGACTTCCACACACGTGGTAGTAGCACCAGTGTGCATGTAGTACAATAAAAAAAAATGTGATTTGTTTGAGACAGGGTTTCTCTGTGTAGCCCTGGCTGTCTTGGAACTTTTTCTGTAGACCAGGCTAGTCTCAAACTCAGAGATCTGCCTGTTACCCCAAGAGCTGGGTTTAAAGGCATGTGCCACCATGCCTGGCTAAAAATGTAATTTAAAAAAGCAAAATAATAGATACCTTTGAAGGACTGAGTCCATCCTTTGCCCCCAGGCAGCATTCAGTCCACTGGAAGGCCCCCCTCTTTCAAAAGACTTCCTTGGAGACAGATATCTCATCTGGTAGAGGCACTTTTTGAAGGCCTGCTTGAGTTTGATCCCTAAACCCCACAAGGTGGCAGGAGAGAACCAGTTTCTGGAATACCTTGAATTAAAAAAGAATGACCTTTTACCCATAGACAGATACCTCAGATAGCGTGATGCACACTGATTGTTTTTGGACTTCGTGGTGCTGAGATGGAACCCAGGATCTTGTACATGCCAATCCAGCTCTCTGCACTGAGCTGCACCTCCAGCCTGAGGGGCAGTTGACGGGATAGACAGACTTGGTGCTCAGGGGCTGGAAAGATGGGTCAGAGGTTAAGAGCTCTTCCAGATGGTCCAGGTTCAATTCCCAACACCCACTCGTGGTCTAACTCATCTGTAACCCCAGTTCTAGGGGCTCCAGCACCCTCTTCTGTCTTCAGGGCATTGCATAAACTAGGTGCACATAATAGATATGCAGATCAAGAACCCTAAAATGTCATGCTCAGAAAATTCAGGTCATCCTCTTTGTCACATGGTCAGTTAGTGTCACAGGGAAGACCCAAGGCACAGTGGACAGGATTCCGCCTGGAGGAGAGATTGTGGCTTTTTGATAAGTTATCAGCTCGGTTCATAGCTTATTTAGCAGGTAAGAGAACCCCTTCCAAGGCCTAGGCCTTGGAAACTTCTAGAACAGGTTGGCCATGGGCTTGGTGTAAAGTCAGCAGGGTTGGTGTGAGAGCTGCTTGTCCTAGGCTCAGGTCTTTTTTTATTAGTGTTTTTCCACTGGAGATGACATTGGAGATGATCCCTGTGGTAGCTGTAGTCGGCTACTGTGCCTTGTAAATCTGCCTATGAATCTCACGAGAGTCTGTCCGTGTAGAGAGATCCTCTGTAGCCCCAGGCTGACCTCAAGCTCATGGAATGGTGTGAATCACTATGCAAGCTGTAAAGGTACCCATCTTATAGATCATTCTAGACCAATTTATTACCTCAGGCAAGTTCCTGCTTGGCTGGCTCCCTCTAGGGATTTAGTATGAAAATTCTGAAAGTAGAGTGTTGGTCAAGAAGCATTAAAAATGATTGTTTTTAATGTTAGACATTGGAACCCAGGGCCTTCTTATTGTGCTGAACAAGTGCTCTACCACTAAGCAGCTCCTTGATTTAAAAATTAAAACAATTATTATCATCATTGATATTATCTGTTTGGTGTACATCACACCTGTGTGTGCATGGAGCTGTGCAGAGGCCAGAGGAGGGTGTCAGTGCACTTTATTATTATTGGCCTGAGTTTTGAAGCAGGGTCATTTCCTGAACCTGGAGCTAGGCTGGAGGCCAGCAGTACCTAGGACTGCTTCTCTGTCCATCACAACTTGGGATACAGGGGTGTGCTGTTATGTGGGTTCTGCCTGTAAACCACTGTGCTGTTACTCTGCCTCCGGAGTGCTGCTGCTGTCTTACCACGCTCAGCTCCCCCTTGGATTCTTAGACAGGGTCTCACTACGTTACCTAGGCTGACTTAAATTTGTTCTTCCTGCCCTGGCCTTGATTATTGGCATTACAGGCATGTGTCATCATGCCTGGTGCTCTGAGGCAATTGTTCAGAGGCAGAAAACTGGTAGGTGATAGGTGAGAAGAAAGTAGACCTGTGTGCAAGCACTGAGGCCAGGCCTGAGGCTGAAGTTTGGCATGGCCCTTTGATGAAATGGTGGATTGGCTAACTCTAGCTTGTCTGTGCTTGCTCCTTGGAACAAAACCTGCTTGATGGTGAAAGACCGTGAATATTAGTGAGCATTCTGATGAGGCTGGAAATAATACCATCAAGGCTGTGTGTGCAGGAGAGGGTTGTGTGCAATGCATTTAGGTTTTGTTTTTTGTTTTTTTGAGATACTGCTCTTAGTCAGCTTTGTCCTGGAACTCACAAGAAATCTGCCTGCTCCTGCCTTCCAAGTGCTAGGATTAAAGTCACGAACCTCTACGCCTGCCATACTTCTTTTTAGGTTTGTGTGTGCACGCGCGTGCGTGCGTGTGCGTGCTGGTACAGGTGTGTGCTGTTGGGTCTGGCTGCTGTGAGCATTTCACATTTTTCCTGGCTTAGCATGCCTCAGACCATGATCACGGGTGTGGCTCATGCCCTGGGCGGGGAGTGGCTCAGTTTACACATTTTCCCTCCAGAGTCCTTAGCTGTGCCTCTGCTCAGCATACTGGGGCAGGTGACAGCATTGTTAACAACTGCACTACACACATGGGAACTGACCCTGGACAGGGGCTTGCCTGTATTTGTGCTGATTCTCTGTCCTGGGAAGACAGCAAGACTTTCAGGCTTTGCAGCAGAGCTGGATTGAGATCCTTCTCTGCCTCTGACAGGGGTGAGAATTAAAAAAAAAAAATTATTTTATTTTATTTTATGTGTATAGGTATGGGTGTTTTGCCTGCATGTATATATTTGTGCACCACATGCATGTTTGGTGCCTTTGGAAGCCAGAAGAGGGCATCAATCAGATTCCCTGGAGTTGGAGTTACAGACAGTTGTGAGCTGACATGTGGGTGCTAGGAATTGAACTTACTCCTCTGGAAGAACAGCCAGTCCTTAAACTGAGCTCTCCAGCTAGCCCTCATGGACATATTTTTTAACTTCTCTGGCCTTCTCATCCTGAAATGACATAATGGGTTTGAAGAATGTGTATTGGCTCTTATTGCATTTTCAGGGACATCAGGTTGGCAGCTTAATTGGCCACTGTGGGGCTGTTCATGCCTTGAAAAGGGGCTGGTGCTGCAGCCAGCTCCCTACCTCCTTGCCTGCCCTGACTGCACATTGATGAGTACCAGGATATTGATCTCTACCTCCTGCTCAAGGCTTTGGAGTCAGGCAGAGCGGAAAGAAGAGAAGGGAGGAGGCCGAGACACAGGAGCTGAGCTGATGGTGGTGATGTGCACTTGTTAGCTCAGTTACTCTGTGGGCAACTTAGAGCCCCCCAGAGCCCAGCAGAGCCTTGCCTCACTGACTCCTGAGTAGAGAGAGAGGAGCAAGTGGCCTGCCCACACTGGCCACTGCCTAGAGCTGGTTCAGAAGAGACTTCTAGTTCTGATAACATTGTTGGCTTTGGTAGGGAGTCCTGCCCTTTGACAGGCAGGTCTGGCTGGGTGGGAAAGCTGGTTGGTCAAGTTCAGGTCTTAACACCTCATGGTGCTATTGATAGTGACAGATGAGAATGTCTTAACAGCTGGGGATGCTTGCCCCAGCTATGAGAGTGTAGCTTGCCATCATGATCATGGTAAAGCTGTGCTAACGTGCGCATGTGCTCAGTGCCTTTAGCCTCTCTTTTGTGCCGCCCTCCCCCGCAACCCCTTTTAATAGACAAGGTTTCGCTATGCATCCCTAACTAGCTGGAACTCACCGGATAGACCAGGCTGGCCTTGACCTCACAGAGCTCTGTCTGCCTCCTGAGTCCTGGAATTAAAGGCTTGCACCATGGCATCTAGCTTACCTTTTTCTTTCTTGGTACTGGGGAGGAGCCCGGGGCTGGAGCACACAAAGCTCACTCTTTCACTGTTGTCCACTCCGGTTCTGCCCGCTCTGCTGTGGTCTAGCCTTAAAATATGTGAAGCAGGTATGGGTCTTATCCTCGACATATGCGGAAGCTGAGCTGTCACGTGGCAGAGTTCAGGTCAGCCTTGGTGACCATATACCGAGGAAGGAGTGGGCAAGTGATCGGAAAGGACATGGCCTGTGGGGCCTGCCCTGTCCTAGGGCACTTAGTTTACTTAACGTTTCTCACGTAGGAGGCCGGGCTGAGGGATGGTGAGGTGCTGGGCACTCTTCTTGGCTGCAGCTAAGTTCCCGGTTATAAATGGTCAGGTAAAGGCAAATTGTG